AGAGTGGGAGAGAGCCAAAGCATAAGAGACTGTTGAGAACTGAGAACAAACTAAGGGTTGATGGGGGGTGGGAGGGAGGAGAGGGTGGGTGATGGGTATTGAGGAGGGCACCTTTCGGGATGAGCACTGGGTGTTGTATGGAAACCAATTTGACAATAAATTTCATATATAAATAAAAAAAATAAGAAAAATAAACAAACAAATAAATAAATAAATGTAAAAAACAAAAATAAATAAATGTTTGAGCCCAGAACTGCCCAGTGCCACTTGTACTCAGAGCCCAACACGACTCTGTCCAGTTCTGAAGGGACTGGGAAATTTGAAAGAGCACATGGAACCCAGTGCTGTGTATTCATTATCCCTCTAAGCCACATGATATCCCTGCAAGATATGTTATACTATCCCCACTTTCTAGATGAAAGACCACATTAACAAACTCCCCCAGTGCTTCTGATGTTTGTTATAGCTAGAGAACCACTGTTCTTTGGCCCAGAAGGGGATCAAGCACATAAAGGAATTATCTCTTCAGTGTGTGCACTGAGTCCAGCTGCACACCCAAGGCTTGAGAGTAGGGACGTCCAACCAGAAGTACTCACATCACGATTACTGAGCAGTTGTTAAAACCACAGCTCAGGACCCACCCAAAAAGTGGCTGACCTTGGTCATGTGTGTTTCTTTAACGTTTTTCCAGCTAATTCTAATGTACACATCTGGATGAAATCGTTGAATTGACAGCTTTTAAATTAGGACAAGAAGTGGAGGAACTTCATAGCATATACATCACCTATGGGGACAAGAGGAGTAAGCTTTCTAGTAGGGCTAGATACTTAGTTCCTCTCTGCCTCTGTCATCCATTAAATGGGGAAATAATAATGGAAAACTTATATGATTATTGTGATTATTGGATAAATTAAAATATTAAGCACAATGACTAGTGTAAGGTTGTTAGCTGTTCATTTATCACCATTTTTGTTGATAAGATAAATTAGATAAAATGGCAGGCATGAAGGAGAAACCCTCAAAACCACAGCCTCTGTGCAGTGGTTAAAAGCATGTAATTTGGAGACAGCCTAAATTTAAATCTAAGTTCCACTATCAATGGAACTTAGGCAATTTATAAAAACTGATCTTTGTCACTATTTTCTCATCTGATAAAAAAAAAAAAAAGAAAGAAAAATTAAGAAAGGACAAAAAGAGAGAATACCTGAGGGGCTCAGTCAGTTAAGCGTCTCACTTCGGCTCAGGTCACAATGTCACAGTTCATGGGTTCGAACTCTGAGTTGGGCTCTGTGCTGACAGCTCAGAACCTGGAGCCTGCTTCTGATTCTGTGTCTCCCTCTCTCTCTTTCCCTCCTCTGCTCACACACACACTCTCTCTCTCAAAAATAAACATTAAAAAAATTAAAAGAGAGAGCGAGAAATAGAGAATACATGTAAAATATGTAGAACAGTACCTGGCACATAGTCAGTCCTCAACACATTACTGTTATAATAATGAAGCTATAACTTGTTCAGTGATTCTTCACAATCACCTGTGACAGGTCTACTAGAAAGTAAAATCAATGTAAAAAACACCTACTTTCCTGGACAGTTCAAACACTGTTTCTTTGTTGGGAGAGAGGTCCTACTAGCATAACTCATGTTTTCTTTCATGTTCTGTAGGCATGGGTTTGGAACTCAACAAACTGAAGTTCAAGGCTGACTCAATCACCAAGTAACAGTTGGGTGACTTTCGCCAAGTTTCTCACTATTTCTGAACTACAGTGGAAACAAAGGTGAGTGGCATCTATAAGAGTGAAGATAATTACATAGATTCAAGTTTGAGGAAGCTTGTTTCTCTAAAGAATCAATACAAGTCTAATATAAAATACAGAAACGAGCTGATGAAAGCTTACCTAGTACATCATGGGATCAGTAGCCAATCTGAATAATGACTAAGAAATTGGCATAAATCCAATTTTAAATAAGTATAAATTGCCTGTCATCTAAAACTTGGCAATGTTTTGTATTTTTAGCCTCTCTGAAATCCTGACTACAATAAAATTGTTATATTGCATTTTGTGTGTGTGTGTTTCTCCCAAATACTCATTCATTTCCTGACATGGTGGAAATGCCCAGAAAGCAACATGGTCAAAGAATCATTCATAAAAAAAATCACTATTCAGTGGAATCAAAGTAGTCCCCTTAAAAGGATTTTTACAGTCAAGATATTTTTCATTTGTAAAAAGAAACAAATTCAAACATTAAATAACAATGTGGTAAAATAATCTGCAAAACTCCGTAGCTCTAGCTACGTCTATAACTGACAGTCCCCATGATCATGTAGGACATGAAAATGTCTACAATATTTTACTTAGCTTACCTCAGAATTGCTCCCCTGCAGAGGAAGAGATCTGGGTTTATGCTGACTTTTACTAATCTCTTTTACAGAATTATTCTCCCCTTTCTGTTCATCTGGATTAATATCCTTGATAAACCGATGGGCAACATCCAATACATTGGATAATATTTGAGATTTTGCCTGTTAAAAAAGGAGCAAAATATGACTTAAAAGACTAATATGTCAGCCTAAGTAACTTAGATACATTAAATCATATTTTTATTATTCTAGGATTAGTAAAATTGAATACATTTTATTTAATATTTCAAAACACAAATTAACATTGATATCATCCAATATAATAGTGATAACTGCCATCTATTGAGGGGCTAGTTTGTGCTCTTATTATCCTAAGGATCTTAAAAACATGTCATTTAATCCTCACATCAACTCTAAAGCATAACTATTTTTGCCTCTGTTTTAAAGGTAGAGGAATAAAAGCTCTGATGATTTAAATAATTTAGGACTGGTCACATGGTGAGTGGGTGGCATGGTGAGCTGGAAAATGACCCCAGGTGTGTATAATTCTAGTGACTCATAGCCTTTCCCCTAGGCCAACCCCAAATAGATAGATGTGCTATTTTGTGCACAACATAGCTAAAGAACTAAATATAGCTAATCTAATAGGAGCCTGAATAAGCAGTAATGAGCATCCCTTGTTGATAAAACATTTTTAGCAAGTATTAGGTATTCAAAAGTGCACATCAGGAAGTGCCTCTATCTGTAGGTTCCCTAGTAAACTCCAAGTTGTTCCTCATATCATATCTTTGCTCATGAGTTTCCCTTACCAAGGAGGGCTTCTCTCCTCTACATCTTCTTTACCTGGCAGACTCCTACTTCTCCTTCTAGATTCATCCCAAGTTATTCTCAAGGTCCAGGAACCTTGCCTTGCCTTCTTCCCTCTGGCTGTGTGAGGTGCCTATCCTCTGTACTCTCTTCATACCCAAAGTAGATCTCTACCAGCTCACACAATACTGATTTTACATCACCTTTTGATATTTATCTATTACATCATACCACATAAGTTCACAAAAGGAAAAAATAACGTCTTCTTAAATATTTCTATGGAGTCTCTGTCCTCTCTTTGCCCGCAAAAGCGGTTCCCTTAAATATTTCTATGGTGATCAGAGTGCCTGGCATATAACATACAGTAAAAATGAGGTGGTGGGAGGAGGGAGAGGAAGAATTGCAGAATAAAATATATAATTGAGAAAAAGATTAAAAAGAAACCTTTCCACATGCTTTCAGAGTAACTGAAAAGGAACAGGCAACTCTTGGAAAGACCCTAGTCTCTGAGAGTTCTCCTATCAGCAGCTACCCTGGTCTGCCCAAAGAGTCTGCAGGAGTCTGGATCCCATCTGAGCTTGAACCAAACAACTGCCAGTAAAAATATTACTTTTCACCAGGATGAGGCTCTCTGAAAACCTGGTATTAGAAAACCAAGCAATAGGTCTTACTCCATTAGCAAATGTCCTCAAGACAGAGAATAACTTCAGCAAGGATTAGAAATAATTATTTTGTACCTTTTCATGGAAATATTCCTATTTTTAAATTTTCATCTAGTTACCTATTTAAATAACTAAGATTACACTGAAACTTTCCAGTTATGACCTTTTTAGATCTGTTAAAATTCACTGCAATCTCATTCTGGAATAAATCATTTAAGATAAAATTAATTAGTGTTATTTCACACTGAATTAATGAATTATATATGAAAAATGACTAATGTGGGGGCACTAGGCTGCTCAGTCAGTTACGTGTCAAACTCTTGATTTCAGCTCAGGTCATGATCTCACTATTCATGAGATCAAGCCCCGCATTGGGCTCTGTGCTGATAGTGCAGAGCCTGCTTGAGATTCTCTCTTCTCTCCATCTGTCCCTCTACCACTTGCATGTATATGTATGCAGTCTCTCTCTCTCTTTCTCTCAATAAGTAAACATTAAAAAAAGAAAAATGACCAATGTGATCTATGATACATACACACACACACACACACACACACACACACGTATAAATACCTGTGGCATCTGCTCCAAATTTTCCCAATGATCATCAAAAAGCCTATACAGATCTATACAATCCTTATTTTTAAAAGAAATTCAAAAAGGTAATGCTTTACCCTTACAGAAACATCTGTATTTTAACAATTTTTTTTAAAAAGGAGTAATCCAATATAAGCCTGATTTTAAATTCCCTAGTATAGAGATCTATTGATTTCAAAGATGATTAGAATGTCTAGTTTTCATTTTACACATTCTTAAAAGTAGTAAAAACAATAGTATTGATTTTATAAAAAATTATCAACACAGAATTATCCAAATATATTAACACAAAACAAAGATTATTCCTGTCCTAAAACGAATCCTGGTATTAATGTTTCAATTAATTGCTATAACATTCTCAGGTAGGATATTAAGGGACTCTGAAATGGCACACACAAAAAAATATTTCATTTTTAAATTTACTGATAAAAAGTAAGATTAACATCATGGATAATTAATAAAATAAAGTGCTACAATTGATTATCTTAAAGTTCTGTTAATTTGGTAAAAATAAAATGCCAACAAATGGGAATTTTCTTTCCTAGAGTAACTTACATTTAAATATTACTTTTCTCAGGGGGGCCTGGGTGGCTCAGTCAGTTAAGCATCCAACTTCGGCTCAGATCATGATCTCACGGTTTGTGAGTCTGACCCCAGCATTGGGCTCTGTGCTGACAGCTCAGAGCCTGGAGCCTGCTTTGGATCCTGTGTCTCCCTCTCTCTCTGTTCCTCCCCCACTCGCATTGTCTCTCCCTCTCTCAAAAATAAATAAAGATTTAAAGAATGAATGAATAAATAAATAAATAAAAATAAATATTATTTTCTCAGTTATTAGAGTGGTATATGTCATCTTTCTTATTCTTAAAATAAATATGCACAGAAAGGGAACAGATATGATCCCTATTACATAGACAAGGAAATTCAAGCTCATAATGATTATGTTAAAGCCAAATGGATACAAAATATTGGAGCTTGAGTTAGAACCAAGGTCTTCTTCCAGCCTCCTTCTCTCTTCTAAATTACACTAACACAGATAATGTGTTTTATTTTTGAATTCCTGAGACTTACAATATATTAATAGTTCTCAATAGATATGAACATTTTTCCTTCCTTTAAAAAAACCTATAATTCCAGGGGTGCCTGGGTAGCTCAGCTGGTTGGGCCAACTGACTTAGGCCCAGGTCATGATCTCACAGTTTATGAGGTCAAGCCCCACATCAGGCTCTGCACTGACAGCTCAAAGCATGGAGCCTGCTTTGGAATCTCTCTCTCTCTCTCTCTCTCTCTCTCTCTCTCTCTCTCTCTCAAAAATAAATAAAACATTTAAAAACAAATTTTTTAACTTAAAAAAAACTATAAATCTATAAATAGTTGCTTATGCAGGTATTAGATTGTTTATAGTTTTTGTTTCTAACTTATTCTGCTTACTTATTTTCATGTTTTGCTAAGCACTAGGAAACTCAAGGCAAAAACAGATTCTTCTTTACTTGTGGGGAGCCATGTGAACTTTGCAAAAACAAAACTTACAAACAACAAAATGAAAAGTACTCTAGAAGAGTAAAATTATAGGGTAATTTTATCCTATAAAACATCTATCTCTTAAGAGGCATAAAATTTAACAACATCATTAACATTAGAAATTTACCATAGTGCTATAACATACCATTTTATAATACTTATAACTTCCCAAGTATCAGAAAAACATATCATATATATGTTAATGATTTGCAACTTCCTATTACCCAGATTAGTCTCCCATACATACTCTAGAGAAGAATCTACAACTAACTACTACATACATCTCTCCACAAACACAGATTCTCCCTTTGAATCTGGGTGGAACTCTGTGATAGCTTAACAGAATGTGAGAAGTAGTGATGAATTTCATTTCCAGTGGCAAGGCAGTAAGAAAGTACCCCTTTTACTGTTCAGCAAGCTTTGTAAATGGATGTACAGTGATGTTGGAAGTAACACATCTAAGACGGTTGTGCTACATATTAAAGTCCCCAAAACCAGAGGGAGGGGATGTTTAAAATGAGATGTTGTAGGAACATCCGTGTTGAACTCTAGGTGAGTAAAATTAAACTTTTACTCTTTTAAGCCACTGAGATTGGGCTCTTCTACTCCAGCAAGCATCACCCTAATATGTAGCTTCATATTTGGAAACTACTCCTAAATGGATATTCTGTTTCAGCTAGTGGAAGGAAGGAAGGGAGGAAGGAAGGAAAGAAGGAAGGAAAGGGAAAGATAAAATTTTTAAGTGTTTCCTATTAAAAAACACACATAAATATATTACTTCTATCTCTTGCCAAAATTTTCCTCTCTCCTTGGGAAAGCTAGCTTTCCTATTATAATTCTATTTAGCATTTTAGGTCCAGATCAAATGTCATCCAGTTGCAATGTATATCAATGGCATTATAAAAAATAGTTCAGAAGGGCAAATTATTTAATCTCTTTGAAACAAGTTTTCTTCCTCAACTAACAGCAGCAGAATTTATATATTTTCTATGTGCCCTTATAATTCCTTCCGCACTAGAACTTTGTTCCTCAGTGTGTAATCTATAAATCAGCAGCATCACCATCAACTGGAAACTTGCTGAAAATACAAAATCTCAGGTACCACTCTGAATCACTGAATCAGAACCTGCCATTTAATATGCAACTTGAATGCTCATTAAGGTTTAATAATCATCGTGTCAGAATAGTTACCACTCAGTCGTGTTACAATTGGTTGAATACATCTGTCCTCCCTTTTGTGATTATGAATTCCTTGAGACAGGGGACCATGTCTTATTCTGCCTTATATACCATCCTTTATATCGCCTTCTTTTGATTCTTCTCCCTGCGGCCCTATCCTTCACACTTTGCAACTAGAACATTGCTTGACGCTGGTTAAGTACTTGAGAAATGTTGGTTGAATCAAATTTTGCCGACTTACTGAGATAAAAGTGCCTAAAAGTTCTATTTGAACATTCCTTCCATATACTCAAGCTTTCTAAGTCAATGTCAACACAGGCAAAATCAATGGCACTGTTAATAATAGCACAGAAGGGAAAATCATTTACCTCTCTAAGCCTAAGTGTTCTGTACCTATAAAA